TATTATTTATTTTTAGAGTGGAAAGGAGGGAGAAGGAGAGAGAGAAACATCAATCAATTGCCTCTCACATGGCCCCCAACTGGGGACCTGGCCCTCAACCCAGGCATGTGCCCTGACCAGGAATCGAACTGGCAGTATTTCAGTACAGACACTAGCACACAGTTCCCTGAGCCACACCAGCCAGGGCTGACAAGAATTTTTAAACATTTCTCAGAAGCTGTTGGAAACCAGCATTTCTTTTTTGGTACCCGTGTTTGTGACATAGTACAAAGGGTTTTTCTGATTGGTCGCAGACTGCTTCGGAAGGAGTGACGTTTTTATTGTAAAAGCAAGGAGTCTATGGTGTGCACAGGTTACATAGGCTTGTGAAGATCCAGGATATAGTTCGAACTTCAGTCTCTCCGACCCCTCTCAGAGTCCAGCCTCCTCTCACTTGTAGCACACCGCCAGAAGCACAGTACGTGGTGTGCCTGCGCTTCTCACTCATTGAACAGGGTGACTAAGGTCCTGATAGATAGCTCCCGGTACCGCACTGCCTTAGGTACTGTGGGAAGTACAACGAAAAAAGACCCAGGCCCTCCCGACAACCTAGGCTCTACGTAGGAAAACAGGCAAGTGTACCAGAAGGAGCAGCTGTGGGTGACTCATTTACACGAGGTTAGATGCTGAGACACTCAAACTGGAGCTCAGTCATGGAGACTCAGGGTGCGAGCCTACGAAGCAGCGTTCTTGGATGGAAGGCCATTCTTTTTTTTTTTTTTACTATGTTTTATTGATTATGCATTACAGTTGTCCCATTTCCCCCCTTCATTCCCCTCCATCCTGCACACCCCCTCCCACCCACATCCCCCCCCCTTTAGTTCATGTCCATTTGTCTTAAGTTCTTTAGCTTTTACATTTCCCATACTATTCTTGCCCTTCCCCTGTCTATTTTCTGCCTGCCATATGTGCTACTTATTCTCTGTACCTTTCCCCTCCCTCTCTCCCCCTTCCACTCCCCTGTTGCTAACCCTCCATGTGAACTCCATTTCTGTGGCTCTGTTCCTGTTCTAGTTGTTTCCTTAGTTTGTTTTTATTTTAGCTGTGGTTGTTAGTAATTGTGAGTTTGCTGTCATTTTAGTATACATGTCTTTTATCTTCTTTTTCTTAGGTAAGTCCCTTTAACATTTCATAAAATATGGGCTTGGTGATGATGAACTCCTTCAACTTGACCTTATCTGAGGACTTTATCTGTCCTTCCATTCTAAATTAAAGTTTTGCTGGATAGAACAATCTTGGATGTAGGTCCTTGTCTTTCATGACTTGGAATACTTCTTTCCAGCCCCTTCTTGCGTGTAAGGTCTCTTTTGAGCAATCAGCTGACAGTCTGATGGGAACTCCTTTGTAGGTGACTGTCTCCTTATCTCTTGTTGCTTCTAGGATTCTCTCCTTCATTTTAATCTTGGGTAGTGTAATTATGATATGCCTTGGTGTGTTCCTACATCCAACTTCTTTGGGACTCTCTGAGCTTCCTGGATTTCCTGGAAGTCTATTTCCTTTGCCAGAATGGGGAAATTCTCCTTAATTATTTGTTCAAATAAATTTTCCACTTGTTGCTCTTCCTCTTCCCCTTCTGGTATCCCTATAATTTGGATGTTGGAACGTTTAAAGATGTCCTGGATGTTCCTAAGCCTCTCCTCATTTTTTTGAATTCTTGTTTCTTCATTCTGTTCTGGTTGATTGTTTCTTTCTTCCTTCTGGTCCACTCCATTGATTTGAGTCCCAGTTTCCTTCCCATCACTATTGGTTCCTTGTGCATTTCCCTTCATTTCACTTAGCTTAGTTTTCATTTTTTCATCTGATTTGCGACTAAAATCAACCAGTTCTGTGAGCATCCTGGTCACCAGTGTTTTTAACTGTGCATCTGATAGGTTGGCTATCTCTAGGTCAAATAGAAGTATTGGCTCTGGGGCTTTGAGCTGTTCTTCTGCTTGAGCCAGAATGTTTTGGTCTGTTTGTGGGTCTGTTACGTCTGAGGGGCGCAGCCTTAGGTTTTCACCAAGGCAGGGCAACCCAAGCCGCTGGGTTGTGACGCTGTGTGTGCAGGCGGGGTCCAAGAGGGGAAAAAATGGTGCTTTGCTCCGCTCCCTGTTGCACCTCAGTTTCTTCCACTGCTTCCCCTAGTGAACTGGGCCTTTCTGGTGCTGATTCCCACGTGGGTGGGCCTGTGTGTGTTCTAGGACCCTGTGGGTCTCTCCAATGAACTTTCCTGTGAGGGTTGGAGTCTCTCCCTGCGCCTCAACCCCCACAACTGTTTCCAATCAGTGTTTTGAGGCTTTATTTTCCCGGCGCTAGGACCCTGGGTTACATGGTCTGGCTCGCTCCCCAGTTATCTGCGCAGGCGTGAATGTGGGACCGCTGCCTGGTCAGCCAGCCGCGATGCGCACGGTGCCCTGCTTCTCATTTGCCGCCTCACTGGGTCTGCCTGTTGCCACCTGGGTGCCCAGGGTCTACCCGGTGCCTCCTTACGCGCCCAGTGTCACCGCTTCCTGTGCCACAACTCCTCTCAGCTGGGCTGCCCAACTCTGCCCCGCCTACAGGTCTGGATGAATGTGCCTATTTTAACTCCTTGGATGTCGGACTTCCATATAGTTCAATTTTCTTTCAGTTTAGGTTGTTACTTTGTTTCTGAATTATTGTTGTCCTTATTTTGGTTGTTGGAGGAGGCACGGTGTGTCTACCTATGCCTCCATCTTGGCCAGAAGTCCTGGAAGGTCATTCTTAAGCTAGTCTTTCTTTTAATCTCTGGCATAAATAAGACAGTAAATGTGTAGTGTTACCATGCCTTTCATGTGTTCTGAGTGGCAGGGTGCTGCTGAACAGAGCAGACCAAATTCCTTCCCTTGTGTACTTAATATTGTAGAGATAGAATATGCACAAGGATCTAATATGTACAACTTTTAGGGTGTAAAAATTAAATATGCAGAAAGAGTATGTTGCCTTATAAGTAGTATGCTGAGAAATTAAGTAGGGATGGCAGGGGCGATAAGAGTGACGTGTTAGGAATTGTGGTTTTAAATGGTCAGAGAATGTTTCACCAAGAAAGTGACGTTTGAGCAGAGGTGTAAATGAGGCGAGGAATTGAAACACGTAGACATTCAAGGTCAGAATGTTCTAGGCATTGGCAACAGTCCGTGTACACACCCCTGGATAGGGGCTGCCTGGCATAGTTGAGGAAATGCAAGGGGGGCCTTGGACAAGGAGCCAGGTTGGGGGGTCTCGGAGGTCATGGCAGGCGCGTGGGGCCTGTGGGCCACTGTCTGGCTGTGGTGCTCACTTGCAGTGAGGCGGAGCCAGGGGAGGGGTTTGAGCCCAGCGGATCAGGGCCTGACCTGCATTTTTGAAGTTTTGTTCTATTAGGTTGAGAGTAGACCCCTTCTGTAAGTTGTTAAATTTATGTATTCTTTAAATAACTTATGATTATAATATATTTGAGTATCAAAGGTAATTTCCTTACTGTATTGCTGAGGCTTCTATTAAAGAACTTTACTTGATTTGGAGTCTGAACAAAATAGCCTTTGTCTTTTTATTTTTTTATTATTCCATTTTTCCAATTACAGCTTACATTCAATACAAAATAGCCTTTCTGGTAACCTGTTTTCTTGTAGCCAAACACCCTGAAATGCTGATAGAATAAGCACAATGAAATCCCATATGCCTGCCCTTAAGGTTCACCTTTGCCATTGTTATCTATCTAGCAATCTAAACAAATGATTTTTATTTTATTATTTTTGGTGAATGATTGCAAAATAAGTTGTAGACATCACAGTTCTTTGCACCCTAAATAATTCAGTGTGCATCTCCGAGGAAGAAGGACATTTTTCTGTGTAATTTTATAAGGCGATGACTCTGTCTCTGTTTAGGTCATTAGCACCTCCTGCACGAGCTGGTGTGTGCATACGTATTCAAGGGCTGGTCACACACCTGTGAGACTTACCATTATACCATCTTCCATTCTTAATTCGCGCCTTCTCTTTTTTCTTTACTTTTATTTGTCAGGTATAATTTATATTTAATATTATTTTGTCTTGGTTTCAGGTGTACAGCATAATGGTTAGACAGTCGTATACTTTACGAAAGAGTTCCCCCTGATATTTCCAGTGCCCACCTGGTACCGTACAGTTACTACAGTGCAGGGTGGGGCAAAAGGAGGTTTACAGTCATGAGTGCTTGGAGCCCAGACCTTACTGTTGAATTATTTTTATTACTTACTGTATTGCTTCCGTATGAGCAACTGTAATCCTCCTCTGCCCCACCCTGCATCATTGACTATCCCCTGTGCCGTGCTTTACATCCCCGTGACTGTTCTGTGCCTGCCAGGCTGCACTCCTCGATCCCTTCCCACTTTCGCCCAGCCTGGCCCACCTTCCCTGTGGTGCCCGCCAGTCTCTCTCTGTGTCTGTGAGTCTGTCTCTGTTTAGTTTGTGCATTTATGTTGTTCCTCCGGTGCCTGACCCAGAATATACGTACTCGTCGCTTGTTAAATAAAAACAAAATTTTCTTCTTATTTTACTTAAAATTATTGTCCATCTTCTAATTTTTGTGCAGACAGAAGAGTGGAACCTCTCAGCAGGCAGCTCAGCGCCGCCTTCACAAATCGAGCAGCCCTGGCGGTCTCCGCGGTGTAGTGGTCATCCCATCCGCCTCACAAATTGAACAGCCCCAAGATTAAAACGCAGATAGCACCCAGGGCCTCCCCCCACCCTGACTTCACTGGTTTTCTGGTTTTGCGCCCTTCCCTGGTTAGCAGCTGTCCTGATTTCCAACACCTGTTTTTGCACTTTAAATTAATAGACTCATAAAGTGTGTGTTTAATGCCATACTTTTTAAGCCAGCTGTGTGGTTGTGAGCTCCGTCCATACTACTCTGTATACTAGTATTTCAGACTCTCACAGCTATGTAATTAATGTCTTTTACTTTTTTCCATATTGTATTACTTGCTCTTTTTCTTCTGTTTGTAGAAGGAGCTGAAGAAGAGAAAATGGAAATGGATACGGATGGTCAGCAGCCTGAAAAGGTGAAGTCTGTTTGAGTTCTCTCATCACAGAGAAGCCACAGAGGGCGCACCTTTCAAAGCAGTGTGGTTTGGGCTTACACGGATCCTCCAGTCCCTCTCAGGGGACTAGAAATAATTCTATCGGCCAGTTGGACTTTGCTGATCTAAAGTGTAGTTCTCAGAAAGCACAGCGCGGGACATTGTTCACTTAATCATTCGGTGCAAATGTCCTGAATTCTTCTTTTGTACCCCTGTGAGCACAGTTGGGAATATGAATATAAGAGTTGTAGTTCTTTGAATTGTAGGGCTTAAGTCCTAATCTTGAGCCCAAACAGAATTTTAAAATGTTGGGGGTTTTCTGAGAGTGAACCTTCAGCAGAAAAATATTTAGAAAAGACTTAATGAGAAGGTGATGTTTGAGGTAGATATCGAAGGACAGGAAGAGCTGGAAAGAATGAAGTGGACGGTAGGGGATCAAAGTCTCCAGCTGGTGAGGAGGGGAGATGCCATTGCCAGTGTGCCGAGGACCTCACAGTGACCCGACGCCTGTCTCGGGCTGGACGCTGGGGGTGCCGGGCAGGACGGGGCTCTACGGCCTCCGCAAGGTGGGGGCCGTGCTGAGAGGTCAGTCCATGTTTGAATAAATAGGTACAAGGAGAGATTTAAGGTCTCAGTTTCAAGTGGTGTTCGAAAATTACATATAGACAATGAGAGGATGAAGATGATAGTAAAATTGTTTCTTACAGTGTTCCAAATATTGTGCTTTGTTTGCTATATTTATGAATTCATCTAATTCCTAAAAGAGCCTCATCAAATCACTGATAGTCTCTTCATTTTATAGACGTTGACAAACTGGTCCAAGGCCACAGGGATTTCAGAATTACTACATGATACCTAATGCTGACCAGAGGGACTGCAGGTGCTGGTCCCCAGAACATGCTCACTGATGCTCTGTTGTGGCTTTTCCTGCAAACCATTGGCAGACATCCCAGTTAAAGGGCTCCGTCAACTTTTCATTTTGGCAGCATTTCGTGTTCTTGGTTGATAATGTGCACTTTAAATGCTGCTGGTCCTTTTGGACAACAGATTATGTATCTTTTACCTGTTTCTCTATATAACTAGTAAATAATATAAACGAACCCCCCGAATTTCATTCCTGTGGACGTTGTGGCCCCGTCTCTAGCAGGGTGCGGAAAGGGGCTGTGTCCTTCGGGGGCGTGTTGCCTTGCAGGCTCTCGGGGTTTGGGGCCCGGACAGTGTTTCTCTGAATTGACTGATTTCTTTCCAAGGCCCCTCTGAACCTGCACTGCCTCTTGTCAGAAATAGTACAGCCTGTAGTTGCTCCAGGATAATATCACTCATAAATGGCCTTTAAAAGTCTTTTCCTCACTCTCCGTTGTCGTCCTTGGTACCCTATTCAGGCAGAAAACAAAGGGGACAGTGAACCAGTTGAAGGCGATAAAGCACAAGACGGCGACAATGAAAAAACGAGCGAGAAGGAACAGGATAGTGAAGTTAGTGAGGACACCAAATCAGGTAATTTGAGGAAACTTTTTATACTTTATTGTGTGAAACTGTAAAAACTGGTGGAGAATTGGGGCCTGTTTAATTGTGTCGTTTGAGTTTGTTTCTTAACAGGGCAGTAAAGGTGCAGGCGGAGTTTTATAGTTTGTGGGTAGGTGCCAGCGCTCCTGCCAGTGACCGCCTGGTTCGCAGTCGTGCACAGACAGACGAGCTGTTCAGTGTCACTGAGGCCGCCACACAGGCCTGCCATTCAATGTCAGCACCAGCTGCTGGCGGCTCTCCTCTCGGAAAGCTGGCGGAAGTGCTGCTCTTGGTTCTCATTTCCTTCCAACCCTGGGGTTTCCCAGAGCGCCTCACTGACTGGTGAACAAGCATGTTGGTCTCAGGGCTTCGTTCCCCTGAATTTTCCTTTATATCCAAAGGAACTACACACAGAGAACTGAGAGAAGTGAAGGCAAGACTAAGTGTACTATTTAGAAAATTCATCTCAGCAGAGGCAGGCTGCAATGCACGGAATGTTTCTGCAAAAACCTTACGAGGAAGGAAAGGCCCTGAGTCCTCTTTGTAGCGTCAGGCCTGGGCACACTGCTCATCAAGCTCCCTGGTTTCTTTCAGAGGAAAAGGAGACTGAAGAGAACAAGGAACTCACTGATCCTTACAAAGAAAGAGAAAGTGATACCGGGAAGAAGAAAGTAGAACATGAAATTTCTGAAGGAAACGTAGCCACAGCCGCAGCAGCTGCTCTGGCCTCAGCTGCAACGAAAGCCAAGGTCTGCCCGCCAGCCCTTCCCCAGAGCTCACTTGGTGAATGGGCGTGTTGTTCTCGGTTCCCGGGGACACTTAGGATACAGAGCCTCACACCCGAAACGAGGTGGCTGTTGGCCTGAGTGGTATTCTAGGTGAAGCATCCCACAGCGGGAGGGTGGTAGCAGGTGGGTCTGGTCCTGAGGGTGACGCCTTCAGCACAGCCGGCCCAGAATGCAGGTTGCAGGCGGAACGGGAAGTCTCTCTAATTGCTTGCAGAACTTGACTTGGACTGTTCCCGTTTCATCCAGATTGAAATATTTGCGATTTTTAAAACAAAAATCTGTTTCCTTGTATAAATACTTCATCTTGATCTCATAAACTGAAAGGAGAGAGGAGGAACCTAAAATAGCTCTTTTTCTTCTTGAATTTGCCAGCTCTTCTGGGGGTGGTTTTCTCTATTTATAACACAGTATTGGCTTCACAGCATCTTTAAGAAGAAGAGAAAACCATTTTTCTCGCTTTGTGTTAATTTAGCATTTCAAAGCATTGCAGGCATGAATATGTAGTTTTAAAAACCTTTTCGCCCCTTCTCCACTTCACCCTGGGAGGTAGTTTCCTTCCACTGCAGGTCGCCACGCTTGGAGCAGCGCCTCCTGGAACAGACCTGCTCCTTTTGTCTGGAGCTGTTCCCTCCATTCGGGCACGGCCTGTAGTTCTCCCAGGCCAGTCAGCTGCTGGGAACGACTTCTCTGGGTGTTTCCTCTGTGGGGCGTGATTTCTAAGAGACCTGTGGATGACCCAGTTCAAGCCACAAGACCATTGTTTTCAGTGTGCACCGTGGAACGTAGGAGAAGGGGTGTTTATGGGCCACACTTGTGCTCAGCTGGCTGTTACTATTACAGTAGCTTGACGTCTTGCATATTCATACTTGCTAGTCTCTTCCAAAGATGCTTCTCGTCCTCATAGTACTGGAGCACAGCTCTAAGTCATCTCTTCACCTCTCCCACCCCCACCTCTAGGACTTTTTGAGGTACACTTTTTTTTTTTTTTTTTTTTTGAGTCTCCTTATCTTCTGCCAGGTTGTACTCTTTGGCCTCTCTTTGTCTCTGAGCTATTCAAGTTCTCATTGTTGGTGTAATCATTAGATCTTCAGCATTGTCTTGGCTAGACTTTCTTGTTTTCTAAGTGAGGAACCGAAGGCCAGGTCCCTGCTTTATGTCCTTTATCAGGGCCTAGTTCAACCATCTGCCCAGTCTGGGGACCTGCAGCCTCGGCTCCTTACCTCCCACCTTCGCTTTTTTTTTTTTTTTTTTTTTTTTTTTTTTTTTTTTAGTTTTTCTGCCTCCAAATCAAAATTTCTGTGTGTTGTTTCACTTCATCTAATAATGCCTGGCCCCTTGGCTATCCTGTAGGGTTGCCTCCCATTCTGCATCCTTCAGCCAAAACAATCTCTTTTGTTTTTTAACTTTTTATTGTAGTATAATTTACTTTCAAATGAGTGGATGTAAGTGTCTACAGCTTGTGAATTTTTCACAGATGGAGCACCCACATCAGTCAGCATCCCCTAGCCAGCCCCCCGGAAGCTCCCTCGCGTTTCCTTCCAGGGGCTGGGCCTGCCTCATGCGTCCTTGCTGGCCCGTCTCTTGCACCATGGAGAAGTTTCTCCCATTTTTGATTTCATATCGATAGAATCATTTAGGATGCAAAAGAGGTTTTTACAAATATGAGCATGGTACTAGATTTAATAACCTCCCTCTCTCAGGCTAAAATTTCAGACCCCAGACTGGGATTCCAGGGTTTTCATGATCAGGACCCGCCTTGGTTCCCAGGCCCCAGCTCTGCCTGCCTGACCTTGCATGCTCCCCGCAGTCCTGGTCAGACCCTCGTCTCTCTCATCTCCAGCTGGGATTTTTGGACACCTTCCCTCTCTCAGAGCATGGTTCTCTCTTGCTTCCCATTATTCCTCCACTCTGTGCCGCTGTGCAGCCTTCACCCAGGTTGCCAGAGAAGAAGCTGAAATGGCAGATTTAGTTTTGTGAATGCTTCCTGGTGTTTTCATAGCCCAGGAAGACGTGATGACCTCAGAGCTGTCAGTTCGTGTGTGTTCTGCACACTACTGGCTGCTGAGCCACAGTTGTGACTCCTTCTTGCAGAGAAACTGCTTTTATGGATCTGTGTCCCTGGCCCTTAGATATCCCCTGCAAGGCTCGGAAGAGTGTTTCCAGAGCATTCCTTTCCAGGTCACTGAGTTTTTACACTTCCTCTTACTTATGTCACTCTTACTTCTAATTACCGGGAACTTCGACTTTATTCCCTGCTGGTCTGTGAAAGCAGTGCTAGGCTCCATGGCGGGGGAACCCACTCCCAGCAGCTCTGACAGTTTCACAGCACACGTCATTTCTGTGCTCCGAGGTAATTAAGGGATAAGGAATCCACTTAAATTACTGTAATTAGTACAGTTATCTAGCCGATCCAAGTTTTTGTTACTCTCTTTTTGTTCTGGGTCTATAAACAGCTTTGTTATTCCGAGTTTTTCTTGATACGTTTTAACTGTTTGTCACATTCTGACAGGGAGTGGGAATTAGCAGTTCTGGGTGGAGGTCCAAAGCGCATAGCCTGGCCTGCTCCCTGGCTTGCCGGTGAGAGACTCGAGGTGGTGCATCCAGTTTGTCATTCACCTCCTGACGAGCTGGGTGCTCTGGACCCCTTCCATTTAGGCATTTAGGTTTATCTGGAAGGAAGAGTTCAGAACTATTCTGGAATAAACTGGGTCCTCCAGAACCAGCAACAGGAAACTGCAACATGCTATCCTTTTCGGCAGTGGCAGGAGTTCTTCCAAGGTAGCAGAGATGGCATTTTCTTAAGACCACAGACATTTCCTTCAAATCGACTCCGCTACCACCCGTGCCCACGAACCCGCAAATGGGCATGGTGGGTTTGCCTTCCTGGTGATAGGGGGCTGGTTCTGGAGCAATGGAAACATTCTTTTTCATGCCTCAGAACCACCTTCCTTTACTGGCTTCCTTATGCCTGAAATTCTTTCTTAATGAGTTTTGCCTAGTGCTTGGTAACATTTATCTAATACATGTGGGTCCTGTGAAGGTTTCTAATTTCCTTAAGAATCTGTGACTTCTGCTGGATGGGCTTGGTATGTGCCCGTCACCAGATCCCTAAGTTTTCTGAGAGCCTTGGTAGCAGGAAATATGCTGTTCTATGGTAGAAATCACTGTGTTGCCTTCTCCCAGATGAGACTCTTCCCAGTGAAAATATCAACAGTCGTGGAAGGTAAATTGGCAGAAAGGAGGCTCTTCCTGTCACTGTGGAAATGCAGGCAGTAGAGATACAGCATGTTAACTGATCCACTGGGGTCGGGAGCAGGAAGTACTGTGGAGCCTTGGACAGGCATGTTTTCTTCCCACTTTTCATTTTGAAATAACTACAGATTCACAGAAGTTGCAAACATGTTATTACAGAGCCACCCTGTGTGTTAGTTACCAATTTCATCCCGTGTAACATTTTACTTTTAATCAATCCAATATTTTACATTCTTTTTTCTCCTCTGTGATCTTGGGAACTCTGTTACTTCTCGGAACCTCGTGTAGAGGCAAGACAAGCACACACAGTCGGTCCCTGTGACCCCCCCTGAGGCACAGCAGTGTCGGGAGGCGGTTAGTGTGAGCTCTCGGGTGGGGTCTGGAGAAGGTGGCGTGGCTCCCCTGCTGGGTAATCGGGCCTTGTCCGCATAGGGGATCCTCATCTTTTCTGGGCGATGCGCTGTCATCCTCTGTGTGCTGCTGAGTGGGCAAGAAGCATGAATGGGACACGTCATCAGTTCTGGGGCAAGCGGGTGGCACGTTCTTCCAGGGGAAGTGCGTGTCTTGTACTGTATTTGTTTTTCACGCCCTGGACCCTCTCCTCAAATTAGGTGGGACTGTTGTTCCCCTCTCTCTGTGCACAGTTTCCCTCTGAGTGTTGGGTGTGGATGGAGACCACTGCGTTCTTGGCCCTGGACAGTTCATCAGAGCGGAAGGCTAGCATGGGGAGGGGCAGAGTACAGGGTGAGGGTTGGGGGTGAGGGGCTGGTAAATGGGGACCTGCCCCCAGGCCACCTGGGGCCTCCTCGTTGGGTTCTTTGAAGGGAGGAGTTCACCACAGGGCGGGTTTCCTTTCATCCTTTAAAGGGGCTGATTTATAACTGTAAGGACCGGAATTTGGGTAGTTGGGGTGAATTGAGATGTGTTTGGTACAGAGAGGACATCGGGGCGCCACTCTTTGCCACATAATCCCCACTTTGAACAACCACTTTAGCGTGATGTTACTCTTTTTAAGCAAATGTTTAAATAATTTGAATGGTCTTTTGCACTTAGCACCTAGCTGCCGTGGAAGAGCGAAAGATCAAGTCTCTGGTGGCTCTCCTGGTTGAGACCCAGATGAAGAAACTAGAGATCAAACTGCGGCATTTCGAGGAGCTGGAGACGATCATGGACCGAGAGAAAGAGGCGGTAAGTTGGGGTCTTCGGGCGGCTCTTCAACTGTTGCGCTCTGGCCACCCTCCGTGAAGCACAGGCTCGATGAAATCGGGGGAGCCCCCTCTGTTGGCCTCAGACCGTCTCCTGTCCCTCTTCTGCGCTGGCTTCGCCCCTCAGAAAAATTCTCAGGCAGTGGTGATAAACAGACGAACTCGCCTCACAGTCTGAGCTGTTGTCTAAGTCCCGACTTTTCAGACCTTCGATTTCTAGATCCGCAATGGCAGCAAATTCCCCTTTTGGACTTGCTTTTTTTACCTACTTATTGTCGCGTTCAAGGGTTTTCTTCAGTTCTGTCTTCCATCTAAATACCAGCAAGAAGGAGCTTCTCATTCTGAGTTAGGGGCTTCATCCTGTGATCCATTTCTTAAGCCCTCCTCAGACCCGGCCCCGGCTTGTCCCCCTTCTCTGCTCTCTGGAGAAGGGAAAGGTGACCCTTTCCTACAGAGCATTCTCCAAAGTGACACTTTCCCTATTTGGACGTGGCCAAAACAGGACCAAGAGAATTACAAAGTCCAAAAATGAGGAAGGAAGTAAAAACAAACAAACAGTGTACATGGGGAAACGTTTGGTATCTCAAGGGAAGTTTTGGAAAAACAGAGATTAAGCTCTTTAGATAAAAATTTTAATGAGTTTACCAGAAGAGGAATTGGTGACTTTCTGAGCAAAGGGCTAAATTTGAGGAGTTAAGGTTATTTCTTTCTGATTATTGTCACTTTTTTTAATCTACATATGAGGTACTAATATCTTTAAGTGATAGAATCTTAAGATCAGAAAAGTTTTAATGTTAAGGATCTGTTTATATTTATTAAGCTATTTCTTAGTGGTCAGTCCAAGCAAATCCTGGCAAATTTTTCAGGATGAGAAGCCCGGTAACTATCAGAATGGCCCATTTTTATTTTTGTCCTAAGACCAGCTGGACCACTTACCCAGGCATCCTGGCCCTGCAAGGACAGAGAGGCCGCTCCAAGTAACTGTCTCGCCAACAGCCTGTACCATCATGCCCTCTTCCCCGACCTCAGACGCGTCCCTAACATCACTGGCCCTCTCCTCCCCATCACCAGCACCTTCCTCATGGCCTGCTCTCTCTGCCACCTGTGTGCCCTGCCAGCAAGGCTCTTCCCCGTCTGCCTCCCTCCTCCGTCCCTCGGCTCTGCACCTGGGGATGACGTGCCCTCCCCACTTGCTGCCATGGCAGCCTAACAGAGCCCTCACTGTATTGTAATTGCTGATTCCTGTGGCCACCTCCCGTACCAGAGCAGAAACTTGGAGAGCAGAGTTAATCAGAACTGGCACATCATTGGGCCCCTGTTTAACTGTTGAATGAATGTAGACCAGTATCAGAGTCAGAAGCTGGAAAAAGGGAAAAGTCCCTTTTAGAGACCCTAATTTAGTTTAGTGGGGAAGACAGTCGATAAAACAAATGATAGTACACTGTGCTCCGCCCCTGTGGAATGGGAAGGAAGACGGCCTGGAAGATGGGGGGTGAGGGAAGGGAATTGGAGAAAGCTTCCCGGAGGTGGGCTGGAGCTCCGAAGGGATGTTTGTGTTGCACATCTAACCCCAGTAAGCCGCCCTCTGTCATTTCTTATGTTTGTGCAGGGGACTTGGGATGGCTCTAATACAGTGGACATTGGTGGGGTAGTTCCCCTTGGCAGCCAGACGTAGTTCCCCTTGGCCTGCTGTCATTCGTGAAAAAGAACTGGCATGTGAGCCTGGGACAAGGGCATGACCCTGACCAGGCACTAACAGAACCCGAGATCGGCAGGGGCTCTGTTCTCAGTTCTAGGTCGCTCTCCCTTCAGAGGTGGGCCTGCAGATCTCCCAGTCTTCTCCCTTCTTTGATGGAACTGTCGCCTGGGGCAGTGGAGCCCCGCCCCTTCGCAGTTCTCTCACTGGTGCCTGGGCACTCGGGCAGCAAGGGGCGACTCTGCTTCTCCTGACCATTCAGAATTTGCCTTGTGCTGTGGATTTTGAAAGATTACTTATCTCAAATAATAACTCCACTGTGTTTTTCTTACTTGAGTAAGTTTTTGTGTGTGTTAAATTCAAATCAGAGCACAAGAAACATTTCACAGGGCAGTCTGATAAAACAGCACATTCTCTGGACTCGGCTGTGCAGGGTGGGTCTGCTCAAACTCCTCGGCAGTCGGCCTGCCTTTTCTAAGTTAGTCTTTGGGGTGGGAGAGTTCTCTGTGCTGAAAAGTCCCCAGCTGTAGCCACCGGATGTCAGCAGTACACCTGAATTCGCTATTTCTGTGCGGAAGCTACCCCACAGTCTAGGGACCAAAAACAGAAAATGTCTCCATGTGGTTTCTGAGGGTCAGTGTTCTGAGAGCAGCTTCGCTGGGTGGTTCAGGCTCAGGGTCCAAAGTTACCTTGCAGTTCAGCAGGGGCGGGAGGATGTGCATTAAGCGTAATTATGAGGCTACTGGCAGGAGGCTTCAGTTTTTTGCAACATGAGCCTTTTCCTTGTGCTGCTCTTTTTTTTCCCTTTAGGATTTTACTTATTTTAGTGGGGGGAATGGAGAGGAAAAAAGAGGGAAGAAAACATTGATTGGTCGCCTCCGGCACATGCCCCAACCTGGGACCAGGCCTGCAACCCAGGCATGTGCCATGACCAGGAATCAAACCTGCAACCTTTGGCTTAAGTGTCATTTATTCATTTACTTATTTTAAATTACAGTTGACATTCAATATGATGTTAGTTTCAGGTGTGCAGCATAATGGTTAGACGTGTGTAACTTACAAAGTAATTCCCTCCTCCCACCCCCAAGTATAGTTACCCACCTGGCATCATACAAAGTCAGTAGAGTATCATTGACTGTATTTCCCATCATGGTATCTTTTTTATTTAAGATTATTTTAGAGGGGAAGGGAGGGAGAAAGAGAGGGAGAGAAACATCCACGTGTAAGAGAAATATCTATCGGTTGTCTGTAGCACAGCCCCCAACCAGGGACCCAGTCCGCAAACCCAGGCATATGTGCCCTGACCAGGAATTGAACCAACAACCTCTCGGTTTAATGAGACAACATCCAATCCATTGAGCTATACCAGTCAGGGCTCATGGTGTCTTTATAACCTAAACTTGGAAGTCACATCCCTTCACTTGGTCTCACAGACCAACCCTGGATCCAGGTTGGGATAGACAGGCTTCAGTAGGGAAGGTGTACATAGGAGATTGTTGGGGGCGAGCTTGGAGGCTCGCTTTCTAAACCAAAGAGAATCTCATGAACTTCAGTGTCTCTTGCTTATGTCATGCACAGTTGTGATATAACCTACTTTTCTCCACCCGAGCACTAGTGTCCTGTCCTTCCCTGGGGGCAGACAAAGCCAGGGCTGCTTCTCTGCTGGTGGTTTGTGTGCAGGACTGTTAGGAGGATGGAGTGAGGGAAGTATGGCATGTCCCTGGCACGGCATCTGGAACACGTAAGTGTTTGGTAAATGTTTGTATGGCCCCTTTATGCAAACCAGTAAGCAGCCATTGTATAGTAAATTCTCAATACTTGCAAGCCTTCCTTGGCTTTATGAACATTCATTGGACCTGTCGCTGCGCTAAACCACCTTTTTTGGGTCTTCTCATTTTATCTCTCATACAGCACATGGGAAAGCCACTAGCAAGAAAATACTGGTTGTGTTAAACATCCGAGGACAAGAGTCCAGCGGTGATACCGGGTGGGAGTGTAAGGCCGTCTCTTCCTTAGCCCTTCTCACAGGCGGAGAGACTGGGTGGAGCTTGCCGAGGCTGCATTCCACAGCTCCGATGGCATGGCTCACAGACAGCCGGACCAGCTCTGAAACCTCATTGTGCAGCTCTGTGTTTTTAGCCAGAACACTGTGGTTTATCAGGAAATGAGCCATTCTTACCCTGCTTTAGCCCAGAGACTCTGAGATGTGCAGGGTTTTAGCATTCCTGGATTATGACTCGAGAAGGTCAAGACAGGTGGGAGCGAGCCTGTCACCCCGGCCTGGTGCCCCCTGCTCACCCCCTGCTTCCGCACACTTTGGGGGGGGCGCGCCTGCCATCTTCACCTGAGCAGCTCTTCATCTTCAGGGCATGCTCTTCTGAATTAAATATTGCTTTTGTTTATATAACATTAGATTTAAAATATCTTAGACATTAAGAATCAGGTATGTCTTTAGAACGAATATTTCTCGGAACAAAATACGAAGTGTCCTTTTTTTCTAATGGCTTGAAGTGAAACATTCTCTTAAGTGTTTACTGTTTAGTAGTTCAGCGTGCATACATGAAAATTTGAAATCCTGGAAGATACCATGGGTATAGCTATAAGGAGAGTTCAGTGGCGATTGCAGCCCTCTTACAAAGCACTCCTGTTGGACGAAGGCAGTGATGGAGCCTGCAGTGTCTGTCTGGGAAGTGACATGATAAATAGGATTGACTCCAGTTCAAGTGACGGTGCTGAGCTGGCACTGGGTTCGCAGCTTGGAGGGGCCGCTTGCCGGGCAGCCTTCAGTGCCAGGCCGATCGTGTGCCAGTCAGGAGACCTGCTCTCGGCCAGGCCATGCTGGGGCCTGGCACCCCCTGGAGAGAAGAGGAGGGCCCAGTCCCTCCCCAAAGCATTCTTGTTTGGGTTCAGAACAATGGTGTCAAAGCCCATGAGAATGGATCTGCGAGCTGATCTAGTTTATAGCTTCTGGACTCAGTGCTTACTCAGTCTCTGAAGGTCATTTGGCTGTGCATACTTTAGAAAAGAGACATCATCTGAAACCCAGAGCTGTGAGAAACCCAGACCCTGTCTTTCAGGAGGTTAGAGGGTGGGCGGGAGCAGGCACTCGGAGGTCACGGAGCTGTGCGGGGAGGGGAGGCCGGGCTGGCTGTGGCCATCAGGGTGGGTGCCCTGGCGGAGGAGGCACTGACCTGAGCTGTAACAAAGGCCCAGGTCTAGAAGTGTGGGGAGGACGGCATGGTTACTGAGGAGGCTGAAGGGCCTGCCTGACCAAAGCTAATGGTGTT